GGGTGTGGGGTAGGTGGGTGAGGGTGGGGAAGGTTGAGAAGGAGTTTTAGAAAATATTTTTCCTTCTCTTGATAATATTTTCCTCGAGAAAAATGAATTAATAAGAAAAATATTTTTCAAAACATTTAACCCAACAAAATTGGAAAACATTTTCCATCTTACCAAACATCCTAACGTATTAAAAACACATCGTTTTGTTTGCGATTGTGGTCATCTATCTATATGCTTGATAAAGACAGTCTAATTTCTTCATCTTTTCCCTTTTTAACTTTTAAGTAATGTTTAAGAACAATTATTGCTATGTCACCAGAGACGAGAGGACGTGTCAATACCAACAACTACTTATTCGTCATAAATTGATCGTCAACTTATCGTAAATCCTTCTCTATTATTAGCTTCTCTTTCTTTATTTGAACTTAAGACTGACAATGTATGCAAGTCTTCTTTTTCTTTTTTCTTGCATTTCACATAAATGATCTTTCTCCATACACAATTAGCAAGTAAATTTCATGCTTGGGTTGGCACTTCCATGGAATACGACATATCTGGAATAAAATGTTTTTCTTGTTAACAATCTCACTTGTGTTTTAAGGTCACATTTTTTATATGGAGATCATTTGTTTGTGTTTGGTCAAAGATAACTGCAAGTGGAAAATAAAGTATAAAGATACTTTTTGATGTTTGACTATACAGGTGAGGTGAGGTAGACATAACATAAGGTACATGATAACATATACAGACAAGTAAATGAAGAAGAATGGGTAGCAGTTAGTAGTTATGAATTAAGGAGTAACAGGTTCACCACAGAATGCATCTGGTTCAAATGATCTTGCAGACTCATCATTGTATACTCCTGGTACTGATCTACCACCACCTTCTTCTGATGGTATATAAACATCCTTTTCGCGGTTCTCGACATTGACGAAAATGAGGACACACACAAGCAATGATGTGGCAAGAACCACCAATGTGTTCTTTAATCTACTCAGAACAGGCTTCACCTGCACACGAGCCCAGAAAAACGTAGAGTCACTTCACAATTCCATCGGTCACTCGGAAAGACTACCATCCCAGGGAAACAAATTTTACACTGAAAACCTTTTCCTATATTTCCTGGCTGTCAGCTTACAAGGATCTTTCGTTCCAAGGTTCAGAGTCGATCATATTAGGGACTTACGAGCAATCGAGTCTTTTGTATTGAATTGTGATGAATCAAATAGGGTAAAAAGTACTATCATTTGTGCTTGACAATGCATGGAACAAAATCTGCTGATTCAATTACTAAGATCTGCCGTCCTTACCTATGTTGCTCTGACTCTCCGAAATGTCGTGGGGTGCATGTCGGATCCTCCAAACGTAGGGTATTTTGGAGGATTCGACACGGGTGTGACAGTATTTTGGATAGTCAGCGCAACATAGGTCCTTATTAGACTATGCCAGAAGAAGATGTCATGACCAAGTACAATAGAAAAATCACCAGAATGCTAGCTGTTCCTACATAACTAATGCATCATATTTCAAGCAATAACCTAGGTCAATACCTTTTATTTAGAAAAGAAATATACCACAACGTTGCCGGACACTGAGATAGTTTATCCAAGTTAGCAAGTTTGAATTACTTACAGAGAAAGAACCCAAAAGGCGATCTCGTGCCAAAACTTCAGGAGTCTTCACCCATATCTGCAATGAAAAATCTCCTTCAAGTACCCCACGGATATCTCATCAGAAAATAATTTGGACTAGCCTAGTATACTATCAAATTGCATGCATGAAACAACCATTTAGCCTAAGCTATATTCATCAGCAAAGAAAAATCTCCTTCAAGTACCAAAGGATGTGGAGATCTTCCCATCCAAAATAGCTTATAACTATCAAACTATATGATGATATAAGCATTTCGCCTAAGCTATATTCTTCCATTCAACCCAAAGTAACTGTTTCTACAGCTCTTTCCTCTCCCCTGAATCACCAGATCCCATCCGAAGTATGGCGACATATATACAACAGATGATTCCGTTAACCATAGAACAGATGATTCCTCGGGGAACAAACAAGATTAATCACTGGAATATCAGCAAAGCAAAACAATTTTGGTCACAAACAAGACTTGCAGTTCTAGCCAGCAGGCAGTTCCTTCTAGGCTAAACTTATGTTTTAGGGCAACACTCAAGACCAAGAACTAGCTAGCTGGAAGGTGCAGCTGAACATATCAAAGCAAGGCCAGACCTTGCCACTCCTAGAACGGAATTGGACCTAAACTATGTTTGGTAAGGGTAAAATGAGTAAGAGCATGAATGGAAAAGGAGCTGGGACATTTTCTTTGATTGGTTAAAAGGTAAGAGATAAGAAGTAAAATTGAAGGGTAACCTTTCACATCATCTTTTCAATATATTGAAATTATATTATAGGGGTCAAGAGAAGGTAATGGTTTTGGTTCACTAAGTCCTACCATAGCACAAAGTAAAGGATCAATATTTCCCCTGGAGAAAAAAAATCAACTAATCCGAATCCATGCTCATACTTTGAACCCATAGCGTAGGAATACCAGCTCATGTAGCAATACCAGCTCAAGCTAAGGTCCAAGAGAAATTCCACCAGTGCATTATCAATGGAGGTCATGCCTCTGGTTCGTTTTGTATAATTTTCCTAAAGTGGCCTATTTGATCTGTAGTAGCCTTGATGACCTTCAGATCGGCATAAAGAGCACAATAGCACCATCATTGCTACAATGCGTGGAACTGTATTCATATTACTTCCTCAACAACGTTACTGTTCACAGACGCCACTTATGGGATTTGTTGTTGTAACAATGTTATTGTTCAACATAGAATTATCTGCTCTTTACATCAAAATCCAACTTCCAAATAAAACTCTTCCATAATGAGAAAGTAAAATGATTATTAATCGATGCTATAATGTAGCTGCATATTTCTTGAACAAGATTTACTCAGGCTCCACTTTCTTCTATTCCTAACTATGAATTTGAGAGGTACTAATCAATATTTTGGTAAATAGAAATCAATAGGCGACTTCCAGTAAATCATTATATTAGACCCATCACCAACTACTACTACTAAATCATACCAACCCCACGGTAATTGGGATCATGAATCTTCTACATCCCTTTCGCTCCATTTAGGCACATTTCTTTCCAACTAGTACTGCTAATCCTAATAAAAATCAGAACTTTTCACAAAAGAGAAGTAAAATACTCTCTGCAGCTAAAAAGTGCTGGCAAAAAGCCAAGTATCATTCATTAAAGTATTAATTCATTAAGTCCAATGCCATTAGCTAAAGGTACTAACTTTCCAAATAAATAACAACTTCAAATGCATACATTCAAGAAAACTTAAGAATTAGTACCTGCCCATCGTACCATCCTGTCTCTTCATCTATCACCAAGCAAACCCAAAAAAGAAAATAATTAGTTGACATGACTACCCAAAATATATTAATAAAAACTCAATCCAACAAAAAAAGTACGAAAATTACATTCAACAGTGGCACTGAGCAATCTGTTACCAACATAAGCCCAACCAAGATACATTCTCACAACAGCCAAAGTAACCACAATAACACCACCAGAAACAGCACCCAAGAATGGTTTAAGGGGCTCGGGTTCGGGTCCAACCGACCCGAATAAGTTGACGGGCAGGCCCACAAAGAGTGCAAAAGCAAGCCCAGTAGCAAAAAGACGGGAGCAGTACTCAACCAAGTCACCGGAAGCCCATGAAAATGGGAAAGAATCAGAAAGGGCCTTGAATTCGTTAACGGGCTGCTGCTCAAGTGGGACCGGGCACTCAGTTTCTGGTAAAGGGTTGTTATTTCTGAAAGATGAAAAGGGTATTCTTGGAATAAATCTTTGGTTATGAAAATGGTGGATTTTAAGATTATGGGTTGATGAAAAAGGAAAAGAGACAGATGGGTTTTGTAAGAATGGTTTTAGGGGGTGAAGAACCAGTGTTGTTGTGGCCATTTGCTAAGTCCACTTACTATTTTTCTTTTTTGATTTGATTTTGAAATAGTTAGTAGTTATAATAAGGTTTATGTTGTGTACATTTCTTTTCTCTTTTTGTTTTTTTTGCTTGTGATGTTGGACTTGTGTTGATTCATCGTGGAAAAGTCTATGGTGATAGACTGATAGTGAATGGAAAAAATATCAAGAGTTGAGTGTACGTGGAGAACTGGAAATACCATTCTGCCCAAGTTAGTTCTCTACTAGATATAGGAGTAATTAACTATGGCTAAGTATGGTTAGGTAATGGTAGTGTATATAAGCTAAAAGATGTGTTATGCATTCATTGATTGGTACAAATAACAAATGTGAATAAATTTTTCCTTATCTTTTCACTCTTTCTATTCGACTTTATATGATACTATTACTAATTGAGAAGTTGAACAATGGTTTTTTTTCCCACAACAACATTTTTAAAAAAGTCTTTTAAAAATTTTAATTATAAAAAGTTGTGTTTGATAATAATTTTAATGCCGTTTCCGCTTATCGGATGTTCGAAATGAGACCAAAATTAGAAGATTTGACAAAATACTAATAGTACTCTGATGCTTTGTTTGCTTATTGTTGGCAATTCGTAGAATATCATTCAGGTAAAAGTTAATACCCCTAGTTAAGATTTTTTTTATCAGAATATGACCCTTCCAAGTGTTGGGGTCGGGGTTTCGGCTAGCTGGTGCATGGATTACTCACTTAACCCAAATATGTAGTATTGATTTAGTGGTTAACCAGTTAAGATTAAAGAACTAAGATCAGAACTTCCATTTTCAAAGTGATCAAAACATGAGTTTGTTGTTCTTCTTAATAGTGTGTTGTTGTGTACTAGTGAATCTCCAAAAGTTAAGACTATGTAATTATTACACTGATATTCCTACCACTTGACCAGACGAAATTACTTGCTCAGCTACAAGCTAACAATTTCGTAAACAGATTCAAATATCCGTTTGCAACAAATAATCCAACAAGTTAAAAGGAGTCAACAATTTGCAATTTTGAATTTGTAGGCACTTGCTCTCAATTTGGCTACAGCCTACGAAGTGTAAGAGAAAGTAAGCTTGTTCCAAAACCATTTAAACAATGACAACACAGCCAAAAGAGAAGAGTTCACCCACAAAAGTAGTTGGGGCATTTTAATACCTCTTTGGCAATGGGTTGAATCCGCAGGGGCATAAGCTCCTTACTCAAATTGGTGGCTCTACCCCTTAGCAAATAAGTTTAGCACTGTACAAGTATGACTATACACAAAACTGTCTTTAGCATATAAGCACAACAAAGAGAAGGAAGATGGTAATGCAGGAAATTTTCCTCATTTCCATTTATTCTTCTGTTGGTACACAACCTGCAGAGGCCGACTGTTTACAATTGCTTCCTTTGACGACCTTCACAGAATTGAGACTTCTCCTCTGCTGCTCGTTTTTTGAACTCATTACATATCTCAACGGTAGTACATTCATCAGCCTAAAATACTAACTAAAAATGATTTTATTTCCTTTTCTTTTCTTTGTTTTCCTTTTCCTTTTACATAGTTCAAGTCCCATACAACGATCCCTATGACCTAACTTCAACTACTGCACTTCGTGCAGCCATTGATTTGGAGATATCTGCTTGTTTCTGAATTGGTTGCGTTGAGTCCCCACTTCGAATGAACCAACTGCTTCCAATCCAGGGCTTTCTTGTGTGCTTCTTTGCATCTACAAGACTTTGCAATCAATTCTCAGTTGCTCTGGCTCTTTGAGCCTAGCAACAACCTTCTGTTATTATTACAACAATACCTAACCTGTCAACCTTATTGCTGATTTGTACAAGTTTCAAATCCCTGGACATTAAGACGCTGAAGACACTTGAGACGAGTTATGATCTGCCCAAAAGAAGGGCGCGCTTGAGAATTTCTGCAGGAGAAGAAGGACATTAGTCATTTAATACAAAGAAAAACTGCAGCAATTCTCAGACTGTGCACATCTCAACACTCTTGTGGACACGAACAAGTCTGAAAATCTACTCGTGAAATTATATCAGAGTTGAATAGACGCACTGATTCCAACAGTCGCTTATAATCTCTGCAACTATGGGATCAACAGTTGCAGGAATATCAAGGCGTCTACCCTGAAAACCAACAGCTCCAACGACCTGCATTGAGTTCATCCCTGACCATGGCACTTTAAGAGTTGTCAACTCCCAAAATATTACACCAAAACTGTACACATCGGATCTGCAAACCAGGCAATCAAACTCATTTAATAAAATTCAAAACTAATAACCATAACAAAGTTGAGCACCATGACGGATATGAATAAAGAGCAAACTTACTTTTCATTGGATGGTTCATTCCTTAAAACTTCTGGTGCCATCCATTCAGCCTGCAATTAATGGAATGCCATTAGCAAATTTGAAGATTTCAGTCCTCTTTCTCACCCTATTTAGCCATACTTTGTCAGCTTTTTGTTTTTGTTCTAAATGGGTATGGAGCAGTAGAAAAGAGGCCTGGAAAAGATGGCATAAACTGAGTCATAAAAGTGAACATGCAATCACCGTTCCGGCCGTTGACTTTGAAGAGAGAAATGTGTGGTGCTTCATGCGAGACATCCCAAAATCACAAACCTTCAAGCATGGCAGAAGCATGGATTGTTGTAAGCAAAAGCTTAGTTCTCACAAATTTTATAGGCTATTATTTACAAGATTCAAGGCAGACGCACCTTAACAACCCAATTTTTATCAACAAGAAGATTTGGAGTCTTCAAATCTCGATGCACAATGACAGGGTTGCTTGTGTGCAAGTAATTCATTCCTTTGGCCTACACGAAGTTGATAATTAGCAAACAGGTAACTAAAACTGAAACAAACCCAGGGATTCACTACCCAATAAATACCACATCAAGTGCCATCCGCATACGCCTTTTCTCATCAATTTGGATATTTGGACGATGCAGTAACCTATATAAACTTCCCCTGCACCAAAAATACAGGTATCAGATACACTTAAAGACAAGAAGAGAAAACAAAATTGATATATTACTTAATAGTAACAAACACGATATACTAAAAAGTATCTTGGCATCACTAGCAATACAGCTATAGATGATATAAGAGCTTCTTGCATGTTTAAACTATATACCCGTTTGCTCTCCAAAAAGCAAAGAAATAACAAGAGCATGATTTCGTGAACGCATTACAAAGATTTGAATGCACACAAGGAAAAAGGTATAAGTCACAACTGATCCGGCAACAATGCCCAAAATATCCTGGGACGAGAATGGCTTGAAAAACGTATCCCATGAGCCAAGATTAGAAAGCCAAGGCTAAACATTTAAGAGATGGGCCAACTTTCAACCGTAGCATGTTAGTAATGTGCAAGTAGAAAAGAGTTCTCAACCTTGGCAAGAACTCAGTCAGTATAGAGAGATTTGGGGGGCGAGTTACAGCTCCCATGAAGAGAACAACATTAGGATGTCTCAGCCTCAACATAATTTCAATCTGCAAAACGAAATGCACACAGGGTCCTTAAATTTCAGGAAAGCTCATAAAGCACTAAGTACTACTCCACATCACATCTTTGTCTATGTACAACTTACTTCACATTTAAACTGTGCAAGGGCATCACTTGTAATATCCTGATTCATGAATTTCTTCACGGCAACTTCCTGCAATGCGGTAACATTAATTACATTCACTTAAGTTTACAGAAAAAGTGTGTTAAATAACTATACAATACTACAGTCAACATTCCAGACCACTCTCATGCTACTTGCACAGAGGTGCTGGATGCTAGTCTATTTCTTTCATTACTTAAACTATCAGTTCAAAGTAATGGATGGACAGTGGGTGAACCACATGTCAACTTTCAAGGACACCTCCAACCACAAACCAAAACAAAGATTTGACATGATACCAGAGAACACAGAGACTACGAAAAAGCTATATTATTCAACTTACCATCTACATGATTGTTAGAGAATGTACATGTCCCACATTGATTCTGTAAACATTTCAAAAGGGATTTATAAAGGCCGTTCGCTATTTCACCAATTACCTTTGTATTTTGAATTGGGTGCTCCAATTCTTTCACATGGTGTTAGAGACATATTTTGGTAAACCCGTTATTAGAACCTATGTTATCACTCTGCGCTTCTTTCAACTAAACCTATTGAGCCACTCTGGACTTATCTCTTTCAATCCAATCCACCGAGCCATTATCTACTCTCTGTTGTAGGCACACTCCTTAACATTTGAGCCTTCTCTTTCAACCCCATGTCTATTTCTCATCCTGACGAGCTTACTCTCTCTGATTCGTGCATTCTCTTCAGCCTGTACTCGGCCTATTTCTCTGCTCCAAACCTACTCTCTAGTCAGTCAAGCAATTTTAATTTCTCAACAGTTAAACCCGTGAAAAAGAAAATCTTCAAGTTGACATGCAGACTTAGGAAACATGTCTCATATTGGTCGACAAGGATTCACAATGGAGTTTATATATGTCTTAGAACTCTTTTTAATCCAACATTATGTCACTTGAATTGATGTTTTCGGTCCAAAAACATGAGATTTGGAGACTTGAGTGCCCTGATTATTTGAGAACCTCAGTTGGAGGTTCTAACAACTTAGCTTGGCTTCTTCTGCTGTAAGCGTCACGGTGTCCATGATCACCTAACTAAACAGGCTAGATTGTGGATGAAAAGGCCCGAGCACATGGGGTAAATGCTGATTTCTAAATTGTGCAGTTATTTTTGTTGACGGACATGTTTCGACCATTCCAAACTTGTTACTTATAGCCTGTTTGGCCAAGCTTCTAAAATCAGCTTATTTTGAGAAGTGCTTTTCTCAAAAGTACATTTTTAAAAAGTGCTTTTTAAAAAAGTGTTTTTGGTGAGAAGCAGTTTGTGTTTGGCTAATTAATTTGAAAAGCACTTTTGAGCAATAATTAGTGTTTGGCCAAGCTTTTGAAAACTGCTTCTAAGTGTATCTTTCTCAAAAGTACTTCTCAGAAAAGTGCTTTTGGAGAGAAGCTACTTTTTTCTGCTTCTTAAAAACTGCTTCTGCTTCTCCTCAAAAGCACTTTTTTTCCTTCCAAAAGCTTGGCCAAACACCTCAATTTTTGGCCAAAAGTGCTTTTGGCTAAAAAAAGCACTTTTGGCCCAAAAATAAGCTTGGCCAAACAGGCTATTAGTTTGGGTGAAGGCCCGTGCTTAATATACTAAAGATGTTCCCCACTTTTATGATATTTCTAGAATGAGTAACTTGAAAAAGAAGGAATCAGACATGTCTACTTATTAGGCACAAGTTCAAGCAGTTATGAAGGATTTTAATAAGTTGATGCCAGTCACCGCCAGTGTTTAATAAGCAATTAGAACAGCGACAAAAAGGTTCTTAGTTCTCATACTTGATAGGCTTCCAAATGATCTTGACTCAGGGCAAGACCAGATTTTGGCTAGTCCCAATATGCCTCCAGTGGATGAGGTGTTCTCCCGCTTATTACCTCTTACTGCTCCTAGCCACACAGTGGTCCTTCACCATTTCTAGCATCACAGACGGTAGAGAATCTAGGTGGAGGTTGCTTGGGAAATTCTTGACCTAAGTGCACTCATTGTTATAAAATTGGTTATACTCGTGAGAAGTGCTTTCTCTTTACATGGTCAACCGCCAAGGAAGGCTCATGTTGCCCAGACTAATTCCATTGGTAATCCGAGCAATCAGACATTCTCTTTTTCTAAGGCAGAGTTTGAATGACGTCCTCCAGTATCCGGTGAGTGAACAGAACCATGGCCTGTATCTCTCAGCCCTCCACTCTTAGACCTTGGGTGAGTGACTCAAGTGCCTCTGGTGATATACTTGGTAATGAATTACTTTTTCTACTATCTCCTTTTCAGTCTCTTCCAACAGTCACAGGCTACTGGCACACCGACTATGCTGGAATTGGTCAATCACCTACAACTATGCCTACTCTTTTTCCAAAAATTGTATTCTATCCATTCTCCCTAATTCTTCATTATTCTCTAGGATTCTTCATCTTCTACTGAATTTAGTTTGAGGGCATTTAAATAGCTAAATTAAAGAATTAAGTTCTATTTTTCTTTTGTTTTGCTGGAGAAGGATCTTAGAGTGTCTAGGCTTGGGCCAGGAGGGTTCTCAATAAGTTCTTCAAAAAATCTGATTCAGGCCCTAAAATCCTAAAATGAAGAAGATTCTGTTTTTTCGTTTAAGTTCTTTTCTTTCTAAAAGAATATATCTGATTAAGTTTAATTTGGGGAGCTAGGCAAAAGAAGTTGAAAACCCAAGTAACAGAAGGGAAAACTTTTAACTGCCCCTTCTTTTCTCCTTGCAATAGTTTCTAAACATCAGGTTTCATATGCTACTTCCATTTTTGGTTTTATACTACTTCACAATCTCTTCAATCTTAAGGAGGATAAAAGTAGCTCACAAAATTGAAGGTGAATTGGAATGCATGATCTAAGATAAATGGAAAATGAAAAAAAGTGGTTAAAACGTTAAGCTAGGTGTAGATTGATTTGGCATAGAGAAACCATCATTACTACATGTACAAGATATTTCCCGTCATGTGAATGTATATGTTTGCATTCTTATCCAAAAAGAAAGTGTGTATGTATGCAATCAGGAGCAAATGCTCAACTAGGGTCTGGCTGAACTAATTTTAGACGTTGTGAGGTGCTTAAGTAAGGAGAGAAGTAGGAAAGAGGAGTAATGAAGTGCATAGGTGAGAGTTAATTTGCAACTTAGGGACTATGGGAAGAAACGAACTCGTGAAGAAAATATCAGCTTATCTATTAAGCTACATATAGAGACCAAAAAAGAGATCTTATCTTTACTGCATACTATTATCTGAAGGAACAGTTGGCTTGAGTGCTACTGCAAGTCCAATGACTTCTAAATTAGCTTTATCATCTTCTATTCCAAGCATATCACGTAGGAAAACAGATAACTTTATGCAGCAGTGCTGCTAAAATTATAGACTGGAAACCCTAACTATCCTTCCCCTTAGAATCATGAGAACCACATACGATTCCGTGCTGCATTACTTTTTGTTTCTCTTTTCCTTTGTCATTGTCCTTCACAAATCACATCTTTTGAAATATCTTCGATGAAAAGTACAAGCTACCTAAATATTTTGTCATGTCATTGATTATACAGAGTGCACTAAGAAGCGTGTATGCACCCAAATGTAGTGTTAATAGTTCCTACTGTTTCAGAATACAAGGAAAAGATTGACAATACATATATGAATTTTATAACACTCTCCAATTTGAAAGAACTCTTCAGAAAATTAGAAAACTAATCCATGAAAAAGACAAATTCATTTTGCTTTCTTAGGAAAATGGAACATACAGAAAAGGGACTTGTCAAATAGAGCTGATGCACTATGGTTCTTATTCTACTCAGGATAGACGATAGATATACAAATCAGAAATATGACTTACTGTGCCATTCCATTCTGCACGGTATACCTCGCCAAATGACCCTGAAAAGTCACCTCAGTGTTATTATGTTGAGCATTCCATCTTAAAGATATTCAGTTTTTCACATTCACTTCAGTCAGAGACAAATAACTAATTTACATGGTAAACTGTAGAAACAAATAATCTGCTTCCTAAAAGTAAGCAAATAAAAGGACTTCAATCCTCATAGGTGAGGGAAGGGGGAAATCTGTAGCAAAGTACTAAAAGTCCCTACTCAAACAATATTACTGGAGGCACTCAACCCAAAATTTTGCCCTGTGAATGAAGTTGTGATAGTTAATTGGTAGTGGCCAGTGACGACAAAGTATACTTCTTATAGAATTGGAGTGTTCATAATACAAAAAAGGGATACTATGATAACTTTCGGTAATATGATTTTTAAAAGACATTGACATATATAACACCATTCTGTTTCCAGAAATTGGTCCAAAAATGAACTGAATTTGGAATGGCAGTAGTGTATTGATCATGTTAAGAAAGGTAATGCATTCAGCTATTATCAATTAGATGGAGGGGATCTAAAGCCCCAAGAGTTGGCTAAGTAACTAATAGCACATACATAAAATAAAAGATCTTATCACCTGCCAATTCACCCTAACCCAATGTACAAGTTACAATTTGCCAAAAGAATAAAAGCAGTTAAACCAACACAAAAGACAGTTTTGACAAGTACCTAATCTAACAAAGTCATCTAAATACGTCTATTTTACACCTTATTATTCATATAAATTCACATATGACCTATTACCAGAAATATTCTCAAAGTAGGAAATTCTAAAATGAATAAGCCTGAAAACACATAAACTAGGACAAAGAAAATGACTGACTTTTTTGTTTATGAACAAGTTTAACAACATCAATAGAAATGGTTTTTTACAGAGCATAAAAGTATGATGCTGCTCTATTATCTGAAAACATACTAAATAGCTGAGCACACATTAGTATGTACACAGTTTTATTTTTATTAAAGGTAATGAAGAATAACAGTAAACCTTACATCATTTGGTAACTGCATATGAACTGTCAGCTACATAGTTTAAGAATAACATACAAAACTATTCCGTCTGCCATTTTTCTTCAATCATTTTAAAACAAGATAGCTGTACTCATATGTCTACTACAGAAAGGCAAAAGGTGTAAGCTTAAATTTGATTTTAGATATAGCCACAGAGACTTTTTTCCAAGGTTGCACTGCCCATCCATGTACAATCACAGAAAATGAACTTAAAGCACTGGGTCTTACCAATACCAATACGTTCACCAACATGGAGATCTTCCCATGGAATTTCCCACTCTGCCACCCCGCGTAGCATTGGAAGCTGCTCCTTCTGCACCGTGTAAGACTTGGACTGAATGCAAGTAACTATTTCCCTTGCTTTACTAGCTGATTCTTTGTCTTTGTATGCACAGTTGTTATCTGAAATATTTCCAAACTTCTCCCTATAGCATTTATCACCTTCATCAAGCAAAACAACTTTCAGATTGTTCTTTTAGAATGGCGATAAGCAAAGAAATCCACAAAAAAGGAAATTGAATCTAACTAGGCTAATTTAGGGGATGGAGAATACAAGATAGGGAATAGAGACTATCAATTCTTTTCCAAATTGGAATCCTTATAAGAAGTCTATGGGATCATATGGATGCTTGTCCCCATTTTGACTCTTGTATGAGGAATCACAATAGGTGTACCAGTAATTGTTTGGTTAGAAAGAGAAATATTTGCAGGAATACAACAACGTATCGGCATACGTTGTTAAATAGAAATAAGGAATGTCAGTCGTTGATAATTTAGTCATCAGCCCGTTGTTTTCGAATGGGGCCATTCAAGGATGTAAAATATCACAGTGTGATAAAGAATCAATTAAAAAAGATTCCCTAATTCCAATTAGGAATTCATTTCACGAAGATGGATAAATTAAAATCCAAGAAAAGCTCCATCACCAGTTTGGATTGTTTCATCCATTCTACTTCTAACAGGTGGGAAACTCTCACCTGAAGTATCATTTAATGCATTGTCTCCAGGTGCAGTAACAGTATACTCCTGTTTGGGCTGCAAAATGCCGGTTTCATAGGTGATGCTGTAAGGGAACTGCATCCCGGTGAAGGCTATAAGAGACTGATTGTTATTTTCTGAACTTTGTCTAGTACCAACAACCCTATTCTCTGATAATTGATTTTTTCCAGCAACAACTCCTAAAATCAAATCTGATTGTAAATACATTTGACTCTCTGGAAAAACATCTCGAAGTTTAACATCTGTGTTTTCTGCAGGACAGTTCACATGCTCATAAGCTTCTCTAGCTTGCGTTATCTGTGCCATGGATGTATTATCATGGGAAACTGCTGAAGTGTCACATAATCTAGCTGATGATGGAAGGAGATTTCCACAGTCATGCTCAAACTTCGTGCTTCCAGTTCTAACTGAACTATTTCCACTACCGCCCTTTGCTTCAATGCAGTAGAAAGCTGGTTCAGCCCTTGAAATCCATGTATTGGCAGTTCCATGAGCAGCAGTAACTGAACCTGATTCCGTCCCAGTTTGTGTGTCAAATACCGGAATTGAAATGATAGTACCACCAGCAGGAAGTGGTGTAACACTGTGCACGTCTACTGCATAACTTTGTAACTGACCACTTGATGCCTCGGTGGGAATCAGGGCACCCGGTGCACCCATTAAATCAATTATATATTCACTGCACGTTAAACCAATAATCAGTCAGATCCTACTGGAAAATTTCCTAAATTTTCATGGTCGTAATTCTACAGAGAGAAGGTTAAAGAACTAAACAGAAGATAAAGGCAAACGAACTGACAAATAGCAAATATCCTACATGAAAATAGCCAGCCGACAGTAAACTTTTGACTAATTACTTGGCAACAGAAAAGAGATTGTACAGTGGGAAATAAACAGTACTAGTTTTTATTGACAAGTATAAACAGTACTTTTTTTTGACAAGTATAAACAGTACTAAATTTTACAAAGACGAATTTGGGTATGCCTTAACTTCATCTACTTGATAACCGAAACAAGAAAGAAGAAAAACTAAAACGGTTATTCTCGCAAAATAATATAAATCTGCAAGTATTTAAGTATAGCAGTAGTCTCAATGCAGAAAGTTCAACAAACTTGTTTCAAAATCAAAAGCATATCTGCTCAGTCGCTCAAGCAGCTCTATACTTAAAATGAGAACAGGCTAAAAGGAGTGCAACATCTTTTTCGAAGCTAGCATTTACCCATCTAAAACCCTCTAAACCTTACACCTGCGCTGTATGATTTTCAACAGGGTGTGTGAGAAATAAAACAAGGAAGAAGGAATTGAGAGTGTTAAATCCCACATTGGTTGAGGGAATGGATTGTGGACTTGGGTAATCCCCCGTCATGAGCTAATTGTTTGGGTGAGTTAGGTGCAAGGTCCATTTCTTCACGTGACATCAAAGCCACACCCATCAATTCATGTTGTTGTGAATCTCATGTTGGGCCCTTGTGTGTTATTCATGCTCCAATTGTCCAGTTTTGGGTGTAAGGGGGGATGTTAAGTGCCACATCGGTTGAGGAAATGAGTTGTGGTCTCCTTATAGGGTCTTGGCTAGCTTTTGAGGTTGAGTTAGGTCCAAAAAAACAATTTCTTAAAAATAGGTTAGCATTATTATTTTTGAACAACTGAGAATTTTTTGTTAAGTTTATGTATAACAGTTATAATAATTTAAAATCAACAAGGAAACCAAAGTTTATAAATTAATCACTACCAATATTANAGAGAGAGATCAGAAACTCGATAGCCACTGTGAAAGCTTTTCTTAGAAATACTACTTTTGAGAAAGCAAAACAAAATTTACTCTTAAAAAAGTTCAAAACACAAACCAATATTTTCAGCAAACACTATAGTTCACATATACATCCAGGAAATATGCCCATCAAAAAATTGTTTACCTTCCATTGTCAAATTTGATCAAATTAACAGCTCCATCATCAGTGCCAGTATAGTAACTTCCCTTAACGAGCTTGCATGGCAAGTTGATTCTATCAGCAAGTACCTATCAGCAGATTAAATGATCCATATTGGTTAGAAGCATGAGTCTGGGAAAGACACCAACAGAAATCAGAGAAAATGGTGACTTCTTTAGAAAAGAAAACAACCCAGCAATGAACTAGTACAGAAGAGAAAGTCAATCATTTACCCTTGGAAGTCAGAAATTTTCCATATTTTCCATTCGATCACAAAAGGAGTAAATACATTGAAAAACAATAGAATTAGCGCTGCTTTTCATTTTGAATAAGATGCCTGATGCCCTTATGCTAAAGCATGAATTTCACCACTGAACCTAGACAGACATGCAAAGATCTATTTGAAGTAAATAGTGGGTGCTACAGATGATAAAAATGTGGAAGTTAGCCCAGGAATACTTCGATTCTGAATACTTAAATGGTAATGAGTACCAAATCATTTGATACTGAATCCAACACCGATTTATCCTAAAGCAAGTTAATCATCCATATCAATCTAGTAAAGAAATGTAAGGGAAGATTGAAGCTGTTGTCACCTTAAAGAGTAAGGCCCTATGTCGTGAATGTCCAATATCAAGACAGCCAAGAGGAAGAATGATAGAGTTCAACGAAATTCTTAGCTCATAACTCCTTGCAGTCCACCTCTTCGACATTTCTTCTGCGTCATTAACAGGACCTCCCATTCTATTAGCAACAAGCTCAGCAATTTTCTCAACTAAAAAACTTGTAACCGGGACCTTCTTCAAAGCTCGGCATTCCCGGGACATGAAGTACACTCTCTCCTCAAGCTGCCGCAGTTCCATATCAGCTGCACGGTTTACTAAGATAACTTCGTAATTAACATTATCCAAAACTGAAACTGCTTTTAGATCCACTAATAAAGGCATCTTCCCCTGAACCACACCACTGGAATTAATTCCATAAACATCATAGAATCCATCCACCACTTTCTCATCATAATTTACGACATTATAGTTCTGCATTAACACCAAGTAGGAGGTTTAGTACCAATTGAAACTTAAGATGCAAAAATTAAGTAAAGAATACAGGAAACAAAACGCTAAATAGAGACAGCCCTAATTCTGCTAAAAGTTAAACAAGCAAGAACAGCATGGGATCTTGAAAGTGTTTTCAGCAAATATAGGTAGCAGGATATTGTCAAGAATTTTAAGGATCTAAGCATATTCCTCCCCAGAAATAGTCCAATTTTGAACACAAGGATATAATCATGTGCAAAACGACACTTTAACATGGCAACAGTAAGTGAAAATCTGTTTCTCTGGTGTTACGAACTAAACTTAGTTCAAACTGGTAACGGTAACTGTTTATACACACACGGCGACTGTGTTTATTAATACTTTTATACTGCGGCCTTTGTCAGCGTTGAATGTTCTAATTCAATAGGAGATAGGGTCAAGGTAAGAACTAAATATTAAGTGAGTGTGGGTCCAATAAAGAGATAAACTTTAACTTCTTGGTGCATTTACTTCAAAATAATGTAAACATTAATCCAATCCTACCTTTCAGACATGAAATTAAACACTCTTTTCATTTTAAGAAAGTAAGAACTTTTGGAATGACCTATAAAGCAAAGTTGGAGCAAAAGAACTGTATGTTATCATCTGCAGAAGCAGCAACTTTTAGAATACTACTATGACACTAACCCGACACTTCAATTGGAGAAGAAAAAAGTCTTAAATTATTCATCACTATTGACATGCATACCGCTCAGTTTAGGAATAAAAATACCTTTTCTCCAAAAATTAGACATTAAGTTTAGATTAGACATATTTATCAAAAGAAAAAGTTCAGATCAGCCATAACCAATATGGAGGGACTGACATAGTAAAGGAGGCTAAACAAAGCTATCAAAATTCAAAGGGATGTGCCAAGGCTCGGAATATCCTTCTTTAAAGGAAAATAGGACAACTAATTGGAAAAAAAGGAGTACATGTTTTCGTCCAGTCACTACCTTTAATTATGTCCCTGATCTTTTTAATCTTTCTTTTCCCCAGTTAGACCCAACTCCATGAACACCATGTTTCTGATTGTGGTAAAACATCTACACTTCTTTACACAACAAATACATGCATGCCCGTCTAGTAAGCAATGACAAAAGCTAAACTGGAAACAAACAGAAGCGCTTAATACATGTCTCCTGAGTTTACAGACATCGTATCTGAACTCCTTAAACTCTTCATGCTTCATAAGTGAATGTTTTTTAACAATCGAGAAATCCCCGAGGGCCAAACTGGGGCACGGTTTGAAACTCAATGGATAATTGGCCCACTGTGGTGGAAGATGGCTACTTGAGTTATAGGGTTTGGTTGAGCCCTGAATTTCGCCCTATCTTTATGCCTGTGATAGTGGCGGAAAAAAAGGGAAGGTCAAATAGAAGGAAGGGGAGGGGAAATCAGTCTCTGAGGGAGGGGAAATCAGTCTCTGAGGGGAGGGGAGGGCTCACCGGATCACTGGACTAAGCCGGAATCAGACGTTAGATCGAGAAGAGACGGGAGGTTTGAATTTGGGAGAGAAAGACAATTTTAACAGGAGAAAAAGACGTGAATGGGTTAGTGATGCGGGCTGGAAAGGCAGAATGGGCCGATCCTCTTCTAATTATCATAGGGCCGGGCAAGTTTTCAGCAAGTATAGGCATGGGCCTCCTCACATGGGCCCAGCAACTTTTCCCAATTCTATTAGAATTGATCCTAAGGGGCCCAGATTATTTCAAGTTGCGCCTGATAAGGCTCCTAAGCATATGGGAACAGTCGTTCCTCCTTCTTCTACCAATGGTGCTTCACATAGTGGCACTTCTTCACCAAGCTCTAGTGACTTGCGACCCCCTTCGATGGCCGCTGCTTCAGGGGCAACACCGGCTAAAGATGGTGCTGTTATTCCACGGCCTCCCGCCTCTGATGGACCCAGTTCCATCGCCCACTCACCTGCTCCTGGGCTTAGTTGTGCTAAGGTTACACTTTTGGGGAGATTGTTGAGCATGCCCCAATTGATATTAGTGCCTGACCAGTATTTTCAATAAATATGCCGCCAAGGGTTCCATGCTCTCTTCCTCCCTGCTACCCTACTGGTGTTTCTGGACATTCCTATATCAGCAGGGTGTTAATTTCAGAGGTTGCTGCCCCTCAAGGAAATGGCGAGATCCTTTCGGCACCTAAAATTCCTAGTGCTAGCAATGCTATGGTCTTGTATTCCTCTGGTAGGAGCAAGGAAATGGTACATATATAAGACGTCTGCCCAATTTCGTCACGGATTGGAGGAAGGGATATGTCTTTCTGGATGGAGGATAAACTATTAAACTTTGGGAAGTTTCTAGGTGTTTCTTTTGAAGGGAAGGAAGATAAGGTGTTAGAACTGTTGAGGGAGATTGAGCAATAATGTCTTTATGATGGTGCAGGGAGGGAGTTGGGTCAAGGTGTTAAGCAAAATAATTTAGGGGATGTAGTGGTGTACCAGAGAAGGGGCCGGGTGTGTGACA